CCCATGATGGGTACATGATACTGTATGTTAATGGTTATTTGGAAGGTAAAGTATCCCTTTAATTCCACCATGGTCATTTGTGAAGTTTTAAGTGTACAGCCAACTTAGTGCAGTGGGGCATTGTCATGTTAAATGTGTATTCAGTTAGATGTTTTGGGGAGAGTTTGCTGAAATAGATTTGTTTTATCACGCCAAAGTAATTTTCTCCCTTTTCTTTGTTCACCAGGCTGAATAGCAACACCTCCGAGGCCTCCCAGTCTGATCCTCCAACTCATAATGACCAACAACAACAACAACAACAACTCAAAGACACAAACTCCATGAACAAAACACACTGCCATGACACCACCAGTAACCAGGATGATGTCACGGGGGAAACTGGCTTGGACTGGTTCCACTCCATCGCGTCATCATCGTCGCCAGATGGCACGTCCTCGGCCATAATAACATCCACTCAAGGAAACCCAAACAGAAAACCCAACTCCAGCTGGTCAGACACGTCCACAGTCAGCAAAGAGACCAACTGTCAAACTGAGGAGGTCATTCAGAGTAACGCTGACTCATCATTACATCAGGATGCTGATTCAAATCCTTCAGAGGCAAATACCTCTGCTTCAACAGAAAAACACGAGGAGTCGTTGGGGTTTGTGTTTCAGAAAGTGGCCAAGAATCTGAGAATCAAAAGAAGGGCGCTGGAGCTGTGTCATCATCAGGGTGACGAAGAGGGAGGGGGGTGTGTAGGGAGGGTGGTGTCTGGACATGTGGCTGATACCACTTCTGATTCCCACACAGCCGGAACACTGTCCTCACGTAAGAACTGCCCCTCAAAACACGTAGTTCAGGACAACCTGTCAAAGGACAAAAGTGACCGGACTGTGAGTAAAAACATCAGTACTGTACTGAAGGAAAAGATTGCGGCTGAAGCTGGAGCAGGTGAAGATCTGCATGCAAAGTTCTCAGGCTTTACATTCAAACCAAGGAAGATGGTTCCAAATCGTAACACAGTCTCCAACGTTGACACAGAGTTCCATAGCTCCTGTAACCCAGGCCTCAGAGATCTCCACCCAAACACAGAGAGCAGCAAAAGCAAGCAGAAGCCAGAAACTACTGATGACCCAGAGAAGAAGAAAAGACAGAACCAAAGTCTTTCTGAAGATGGGAGCAGGAGACAACAGGAAAGAAGTAAGGCGAGGGAAAGAGTGTCTGCAGAACAAAGGTCGAGAGTTGGCAGTAGTAATGAGACTAAAGTAGGTAGCTTCGCTTGCTCCACACCTTTAAAACCAAGCTCTTGCATCGACGATCTGGAAACTTCCGAATCAGGACAAAACAAGTCCACTGTGGCCTCTTCCACCCTGGCTAAACTCTCACGATTCTCCTTCTCCTGTGCAACTGAACCCACAAACACAACCCAAACTGATCTAGGAAAAGGTTCTGCTACTAGAGAAGACAAAAGTCCAGAAGCTGAGGAACATTCTAGAGGAAATGTCCCCGAACACAGTGCTTTACTAAGGAAGATAAAAACTGTAGTAAACGTAAAAAAGGGCATTTCTCCAACCCCATCAGGGGACGGACAGGGGACGGATAAAACCAAGCTCACTGAACAAAGCCGCGCTGCGAACCATGTGACCGACGGTCCTGGTGACGGTCACAGCAGCGCTAATTTGAAGAAGAGGAAGTGTTTCCAGCTGGGCGGCACCAAGAGTCCGTTCTCAGGGCTGTCTCTGTTGGACCTCAGTAACGATGTTCTCGACACTGACTGGAACCAAGAGGTTACAAAGAAAGCCAAAACTTGAGATCATAGGCTACTGTCACAATGTGTCCGTTGGATTAAAGAGGCCCTATTACAGTATGTGTGTTATAGAGGTTTATGTAAATGGTCTGCAAATGAAGTAGAATTAAAGAAAAAATAATCAGGTAACGTACAAGTACCTCAAGATTATACTTAAGCTAAGCATCCTTTCTTGATTTGAACTGTTATAGGAAATATGAAACGAAAAAAAAAATGACGTTCCTTTTACTTAATCTGGATTTGATTAAGGTGTTTGGGTAGCTGCAGAATTAGCTATGGTAATTAGCCTTTAAGCCTTGCAGTAAGTAACATTCATGACCTAATAGACCACAATATAAACTGTTGTGGAGAAATCTCACTGACTTTTTTTATAATGTCTCAGTTGGACCACAGCTCTTTAAAGAGTTCATTTACGAAAAACCAATAAAAAACAGTTTTCCAAGTTTTGAGTTATGGAGGTAGAGTTATTTTAATTGAGATTACAATTGATTAATTCTGTCACACCTTCAACCTTTTTCCAAATGAATTATTTTGCAGTAGCTCAAAAGATGTCCTGTCATCCATGGTGAGTGAGACTTATCTCCTCAAACTCTCAACATCCTCTGCAACACTCTAAAAAAAAAAATCAATCCACAATCACGGATAATATTATTGATAGTATTGCAGCAAAAACTGCTGCTGAGCCAAAGTTGTGGTAATGGGATACATTTGTAATTGTATTTTTTAAATATGTATTTTAGTGATTCTCAGAAAAAAAATACCAATCATGATTTTTCATGTGTTTTTGTTGCATGTTACCAAGCACTGGGATAAGACCAAAAGAAAAAACATTGTCTAGCAAGTAGGGGTGTAACAGTTCACAGAAGTCACGGTTCGGTTCATACCTCGGTTTGGGGGTCACGGTTCGGTACGGGTTCGGTACAACAAGGAAATGCAAAAAAAAGTCTCAAATGCATAATTTTTTGTTGCTGTTATTTATTTTGAACAGTAGTGCAAGTTTTGGTATGAAAATAAGGAACTCTAACATTTGGAATCATTAACTGTATTACACAGTTAAAAACAAACTACAAACAGTAACACTCAGATGGCCATATTATTTATAATGGCTGATGTCAAACAAAAAGGTTAAATAAGCTGTACAACTAAAAAGAATGTCTTGAAAATGTTAAAATAAATAATAAGAAAGTGTTTCAATCACAATCAATAAAAGGCAATACAGAACTGTATAACATCTCCTGATGTCAAAATATAAAATAAATACAATGATAAATATAAAACAAAATAAATCTGTACCTTTAGGAGCAATGTCTAACATGTGTAATTAATAGGGTTGGGTATCGTTTGAATTTCCACGATTCTGATTCCGATTCCGATTCTACTTTTCGATTCCGGTTCTTAACGGTTCTCAATTCTGATTCTTTGAGGGGCAGGGTAAAAAAATGATACATGCTTCTTCCACCAAAAAAATTACATTTATTCGAGAAACTTTTACACAGGTTAGTTTACAGTAATATTCACATTAATCAGTCTGTTTATATTCACTGCTATGTAACTGTAACCTGAGAACCACTGAAGCTACAACAGTGCAACAGTCCAACTTTTAAAGGAACCCCCCCCCCCATTTAAAAACAGTTCTCGTTGAGAAAAACAAGCATATCTGCCTTCTCAGGCATACCGGGAAGAAATGTTTGAACATTTTAAAGTAAAATGCTTCAATCTGGTGCACTTTAAGCAGAATTACTAGAGACTAGATCACTAGTACAACTCTAAACACCCATATGAAAAAGATTGGTTTACATTTTAATAATTAAATAAGTATGTGAACATAAACAATAACCCATGGCCAATAACAAATACATGTAACGTATTTTATGTTTGTTGTTCATTCATATCTTATTTTACTATTTTATTTATGCATATTTTTGTGTATCTCCAGTTTAAAACGATATGTCTGGTTTACTGTCCTATAGTATACATTGGAATGATTTCAAACCTGTTTTATCCCAATAATTATAAAGGAGTGCCTTGGAAATATGTGTTTACATAAATTGTGACCAAACCGTTTGAACTTAGACTAAAGTGAACTATCTAAACACTCAGAGTTCTTTACCTCACTGAGCTGTAGTATCAGCCTCAGTCTGACTGGACTCTCCCTCCACATCATTGTAGAAACATCTTCTTCCGTTAGAGTAGCTAGCACCAGATGCTAATAACAACAGCACCCTCCTTTCTCCCTCCCTCTCTCCCACGCTCACTGCACTTTGGCTGTGAGCTGCGGGCGCCAGATAAGCCAACATCCCCCATTTTCATCACTTACAGCGCCCATCGTACAGGGCAAATGAAAAGTGTAACCGGGATGAAAAGGGTGTTACATTTACTTAATTATGAATGTTGTTACATCTAGGATGAGCACCAACGGTCAAAACGTTTTTGTCCCTCCCAGAGCTGTCAGCGCAGCGCCTCCACAGATCTGGCGCCCTAGGCGAACGTCTATAACGCCAGTGCGATTGTGGACGTGGAGCGTTGCTGGCGAAAAATGGAGGGAACATTCATTATAGCGGTAGTGAATCACCCGGTGCTGTATGATCAGTCTCTGTTCATCTACCGGGATACAAACCGGAGGAGCGAGGCATGGAGGGAGGTGGCAGAAACAGTGGATGAAACTGGTAGGTTTTCGCCTGTTTGGGGATTTTATATCCAGTTTACTTTGTTTTAACATTGCTATTGCTTTGTATTCTTTCACACACAGTGACGTCACGAGCTACCCACAATGCAACACGCGCCATATAAATATATATAAATGCGCCATTTTCCTGGAGGTGCTAATATCCTGGAATGCAAATATAAACAGCTAGCTAACGTAGCCAGGCAGAGCGCACTAGGTTTTTTTTCTGAATTAACGACCGAAGAAATCGCTGCATGTCTTCGGATTACATCTCTGGACTTGAGGGGTCTGCTCTAGGTCGTTACCAGCGTAAACTAGAGCTGTGTGGGTTGTTACAGACTGCCTGCAGATGTATGGAAAAACGACAGTGGCCTTCGTCGATTTTGGCTGCATCTACGTCTAATTTCTGGAAACACCAGGTGAATACCCCACTTGTCAAAATAATATTATCATGCCATTGCATATATGTGGTATTTTAGAGTTGACTAGATATTGATTAAGGCAATAGACTATGATATTCAGTACAGGAAGCTTAGCAACACCTAGACGGTGTACGGCTGCTTGCACCTCGCGTAAAACGGCGCAGATCGGAAGTACGGTGTCGCGCTCGGCCCAATACCCGTATGTGTGTGTGAAAGAATGTCGGGGGCGGGATACCGTTACACCCCTACTAGCAAGATGTAGAAAACAACCATTAACTCTTAACTTAAGGGGAACTTGGCCTGTTTTCAAAATGCATCATGTTGTTCCTATGGTCTAAGACAGGCCACTCATACTAGTAAACATGTACAGTCTGTCAAATCCTAAAACTAGAGCACGAAAACATTGTGGATTTGTGATTTACAATTTGGCCCCATTGACTATAGATCTGGACATATGTTACAGATGACACTGAGAAAACCAATGGAAATGTTCTGGGTATATTGATGAATTACATATTTTTGGATATAACTACAATATATTGGAGATTTTTGGGGTCTATAAAGCAAAACAAACATTCTGCGTGTCAACAAAGTTCTTATCCTATTTATTATTTAAGGTTCACTAAAGCACAACTCCACATTCCATGTTCTTGAATCGGAAAATGTCATTTGATACATCTCTCCTGCTATTTCCAGCAGAACTGATTTATGAAGAGCTTGAAATAAAAACAATATGACAGTTGGTGCCGGAGATGCACAATGTAAAACTGGCTGTGATTCAAACCTTATGTCTAACACCATTGAAGCAAAGTTCCAAAAAGCTCTCCGCTCACAGTCCTTCAACACGCTGTGACTCTTTCAGTTGGATTATCACCTCTGAGCCACTGCTTCTTCTTTTCCTCCCCCTCACCTTTGAGATCATCAGGTGGAACATCTCGATGATGTTGAGGATCACCGAGAGGACGGCCATCGCCAACATGAAGACGATGAAGATGGTTTTCTCTGTGGGACGACTTATGAAGCAGTTCACCTGTGATGGGCAGGGGTATTCAGAGCATGTGATCTTAAGAGGCATTAGTATGAAGCCGTAGAGGTAGTACTGGCCTACAATGAAGGCCACTTCCAGCAGGATCTTGAACAGCACCTGCATCAAGTAACTGACCAGCAGGACGCCCTTCAGCTGCACCCGGCCAAATTCGTCTGAATACTTTGGGGCTTTATTCTTCCCGATTTGACCTGGTTTCTGCTCTATGCGCCTCCTCAGCTTGTTTTCTCTGCGAATCACCAGCAGGACATGGCCCAGGTACATGACGGTTGGAGTGGAGACCATGAGGATCTGGAGAACCCAGAAGCGCGTGTGAGACAGGGGGAAGTATCGATCGTAGCAGGTGTTCTTGCAGCCAACGCTCCCGGTGTTACAGTCCATGTTGGATTGTTCGTCGCCCCATATTTTATCTACGCCAGCAGCCAGGATGAAGATCCTGAAGAGGAAGAGAACACTCATCCAGACCTTCCCCCCTACAGTGGAGTGGGACTGCACCTTGTCCAACAGATCCGACAGGAAGGACCACTCCCCCATGATGACGGCCTACGAGAAAAGACAAAGACAGCAATGGTGATGAGAGACAGAAGATTTCAAGTCATATGTTGTGCAGAACATTTTACACATAGCACATTTAAAGCTAAAAGTGAGATAAGTCATGGCAGAATACTTAGCACCACCTTTTAAACTGTGCTGAAAGGGGTGATAATTGTAGTTCAATGAGCCCATTTGAGTTTAAACAGTTTTATTTATATAAATCAGTGTTTCCCCTACCATTGTCTTGAAACGACTACCCCCCCCCCCCCCCCCCCCCCCCAAATTCAAGTGTTTTGTTTTGTTATATATATATAAAGCGCCAAATCACAACTGAAGTAATCTTTCTACGGTCACTTTTCACATTGACCGGGTGCTATTTTATTAATTAAACCAAAAGTTTAAGTTATGTATCTAACTGATGTGCTCGTTTCTACGGAGCCCCTAAAGGTACATGAAAAAAAAGATGGGATAACGGGTTATTATCTCGTGCTTTTTTTTTCTCTTTTTTTTTCATGTCCCTTTTAGGGGCTCCGTACATTTCAGTATCCACTGCGTTGATTTTTGCATTCAAATAATAAAATAAATAAAGATATGATTAAAAAATAATAAAAATATTGAAAGAATGAAGAAACATCTTCACCAGCAAACCTGTGCAGAGTTCACTAAAAGCGCTGCATTAACGCAACGGCGCAAATACAAAATGATGCAAAAAGCTCAAAACACAACGGAAACAGGGACACTAAAACATGATGCACAAAGCTGAGAGCAATGCACTTGTTGAAGTCACTCTCACTGGAAACGAACCCTAATGTACGTTTTATTGGGGATTTATATGTGTTCGCATGATTCCATATTTATTTGCAGCCTTTTGTGTTTGCAGCGTTTTGGTTATGCGGCGCTTTTAGCAAACGCTGTGCATGCTTCGTCAAGTTGCTGAATGTTTTTTAAACCATGTGCATGTGTTGTGAAGTTGGGGGAGATGTTTTTTTCATTTGCATTATGTTTTGGCACATTTATGTTTATATACTGTATATATATTTGTGTGTAAATCTGAGGCCATGGTTCTCAGCAGGAAACCGATGGACTGTCCACTCCAAGTAGGGAATGAGTCCTTACCCCAAGTGAAGGAGTTCAAGTATCTCGGGGTCTTGTTCTCGAGTGAGGGAACAATGGAGCGTGAGATGGGCCGGAGAATCGGAGCAGCGGGAGCGGTACTGCAGTCGCTTTACCGCACCGTTGTGACGAAAAGGGAGCTGAGCCAGAAGGCAAAGCTCTCTGTCTACCGGGCCATTTTCGTTCCTACCCTCACCTATGGTCATGAAGGATGGGTCATGACCGAAAGAACGAGATCGCGGATACAAGCGGTCGAGATGGGTTTTCTCCGCAGGGTGGCTGGTGTCTCCCTTAGGGATAAGGTGAGAAGTTCGGTCATCAGGGAGGGACTCGGAGTTGAGCCGCTCCTCCTTCGCGTCGAAAGGAGCCAGTTGAGGTGGTTCGGGCACCTAGTTAGAATGCCACCTGGGCGCCTCCCTAGGGAGGTGTTCCAGGCACGTCCAGCTGGGAAGAGACCAAGGGGTAGACCTAGGACCAGGTGGAGGGGGTTATATCTCTTCGCTGGCCTGGGAGCGCCTTGGGATCCCCCAGTCAGAGCTGGTTGATGTCGCCAGGGAAAAGAAAGTTTGGGGCTCTCTGCTGGAACTGCTACCCCCGCGACCCGACCACGGATAAGCGGGAGAAGATGGATGGATGGATGGATATTTGTGTTCTCCTGATCGAAGTGTTTTGGGCTGTTGAAGCGCGTTTGCACCTGTCGGCCACCGTATATCCATACTCCAGACTACACAGTGAAAGTATGTGTAGCGACTTCAGGAACAAACAAAGGTAGCTGAGAGGCTGAGGCCGGGCCTGGTTGCCTTTATCTAATGAAAAATTACTAAAATCCCCAAAATGCATTGTACAAAATCTTCATTTAATTTGAATGTATTAAACGTTCTCAAACAGATAATCCGAATAATCCCCCAATCAAACAGTTGCGACCCTCTCAACCTCTCGTCCACACACACCTCACACAGGTGAACACGTGACTATATTTACTGAATGCCGTCCCTAACCATGTGACCCAACCTATAATTGATCACAACATTTTGAGTAATAATATGACGAACAATGGTTAAATAAAAACAATCAATAACCTCATGCAATTTCATTATGAGGAGGTGAGAAACTTAACAAACAATTAGCAAATCAAAGCAAGGCTTCTGAACATGTATCCGTCATTCAGAATACATCATAGTAATTTATGTATATATATAGTATATATATATACACTTATACACTTTTATATATATATATAAATTCCTCTTAATAAAATGTAGCTGTTTCTTTTCAGGATAGCAACATACAAATATAATTAGAGAAATCCAGCCTGTCAGGTAGATAGGTTAGAGATTACAAAAAACGGGAAAATACCTAATCTGTGTGTTCTATGGAGGCAGATTAACTCATATTATAAACCCAAAATCATCAGTGCATATGTTCACAAATGTAATTTTTTCATAATGCATAATGAAAGATGGCTATATATATATATATATATATATATATATATATATATTAAGAATAAAATAATTGAATTATTGATTGACACCACAGTCAATATTAATGTAGCTGCAAGAATTTCCTGCCAGATTTCGAACACTTTCCTGTAGTTAACCTGTTCTACACCGCCCCCCCCGATACCGGGGAGAAAAACGCGTCATCTGCAGGAAAAAGCGTCTGAGGGCATCTTAATATTCAATAAACTATGAATGTTTTATATCCATGTAACGGGAAGAGACTCAGCCAACTGATCTTTTTTTTAATTTTTTTTTTTTAAATCCCACAAAGCTAACGCATTACTGCACAGAAACTCACTCATAACACCCTTATTACTTATCGTAGCTGCACGTCCAACCCATTGATTAGCATCGTGAGAAGACACAGAATCGATCGGTACCTACATTATCACTCCATAATAAGAACTCGCGAAGATCTTAAAAAGAACAGACATCAAAACATGTGGCGCTAGGTAGCTAAAAACGGCAAAATGGCTCACCTTTGTCGTTGTCTGGTGGAGTTTTTTTTGCTAAACCACTTTAAAAAGGAAAAATGTCACTTGTTTTGCATCAATCTTGATACAGGGTACTTATTATATGTTGTACTTTGGATTCCTAACACTTTTAGTCTACCTTACCATCATCCAAGGGTAGTTTTCACTATAAGTAAAAAATAAATGTTTGGACGGACACTATAATTTATGTTCAATCTGAATTTTCTTTAAAATAAAAAACATCTATATTGATTCTTACTTTTCTACATCTAACTCACAGGTTTATCATTACTTTGAGAAAAAAGATTATTAATTTTCCCCTTTTAGAAGTGTAGTTATGGTCATTTGTTCTGGAAATGTTATTTTCAAGTCTGAGACCTGAAAAACAGGCTCAGTGCTTCACAGGTTAATAACATATTTTCCTTTGTGTTGATAACATTTAAAGGCAACATTTTACATTCCTAGACCGCTCATTAATCAAAATTAAATTCATGAAAGCAGTGAAATGTTGTCAAATAATTCAATAATCCATTGTGGTTTTTCCCATTTTAGCTGTTTGTTTTCAAAATGATATGTTTAAACAATACTAAAGCTTAAGACAAAAATAACTGTTCCTACCTCAGTAATGTTCAGTCAGTCGCTGACTAGCAATCTCTCACTTCCTTCTTATATTGAGACTCACATTGCGAAATCATCAGATCTTCATGGGTCACAGTAACCCGCCCACACTCCAAGATGCAGAAAACCAGTTCAAAGTAGTATTCTGGCTTTAATTCAGATTAGCTAAGGCCTGTGTCAGCAATAAACATGACAGTCATGACTATCTCTCTACAGTCATATGCCTATCTCCTTAGGAGCTGTGGGGAAATTGGTCCATGCGCAAAGCATTGTGGGGATTTTAAGACCGCGGAGTCTACACATGTGCAGCCTCGACATTTCTCCAAACGAAGTACGCCGGGCTCGGTAGAATTCCAAGTATGCTGGACATTGGAACAGTCCTTCGGCGGCACTCGATTGAAATAGTGGCTCTGGAGCAGCTTTACTCGACATTGAGAAACACCCAGTGTGTAATCACTGCTTGGGGCCCCGGACCAGAAGGGGGCCCCCAAAGAAGGTCGATTCAATTGGTCCACAGCAACAACAACATTAAACTCCCTTTAATTTACTGCAATTACATGTCGGGAACCCCCCTAAGGGGGCCCCATGCATAGCCGATGTCAAAAGCTGCTTCAAAATTTTGGGGGGGGGCGCTTATGATGGATGTGTTGGGGGGCATGTCTCTTCTGCCTGGGGCCCCCAGAGTGTCTTGCAGCGGCACTGTTATCATACATCTGGCTACGTACACAGTTACAGTTAGGCCTTTGTTATCATGTGCTACTCTGATATTAGAAGAGTACATTCAGTATTTTCCCAACAGAAGCATTTTCTATTTGCAGCGTTTTGGTTATACAGTGCTATAGTAAACATTGTGCATGTTTCGTCAAGTTGGTGAAGATTTTTCTTAACACATTTGTGATTTTATTTCTGCAGAGCATTTTTCCTAATGGAAGTGTTTTGGGCCGTAGTAACGTGTTAGCACCTGTCGGCCACCGTACTTTTGGAATTAATGTCGTGATTCCTATCACCATTTAAATATACATAAATCTGAATCAATATGCATCCTATGTGATTCTTAAAACAGTAGGTCAGTCTTGAAAGAAGTTCTAAGTATCATGCAGGTGATCTAAGTACATAGAGCACAGCCTTTTAAGTTCGTTATACTTATATCCTAACCGAGAGATTCTGTATTCACTCCACAAAACAATTGAAACGATCAAACATGCTTCCTCTGAAATGGAATTCTAGTAATTCACCATAATATTTGACATTAGCAGTGTATGAAATTAGAACGTGCTTATAGTCTGGTTCACGGTGTGTGAGTCCTAATGGGAGTTTAGGTAAACTATGACTTGCATTGGGAGTTGATGACGGAAAAATGTTGTGTGTTTCCTGACACTTTCAAATAGTCAGAGCCACAGATATATTTGACTTTTGTTCTCATTTCTGCTTTGTTCTGCTTTTTCTGCTGAAGTATGTTCCCTTGTGTTTCAGTGTTGGTGTATAGGCTACTGCCTATTATGCTTCATAAAAGGCAGCTTTTCCTATCAATAAAATCATTTTCTATATTAAATATCTTGGTTTCTCTTTTTTTTCTGAGGTCACATTGTTCTGTTGTCTGACATAGTACACTTCAGTATCTTATTGATATTTCTGTTCTCTTTTATTTATTCGCATTGCATTTAATAGAGATAATCCAAAAGTAAAGTAATCAGGCAACATTACTTATATATTTTCACACTCAGATTAGGTTACTGATTACATTGTTTTGAAGGTGACCAGTCATTGTAACGGAATACATTTTTAATGTAACCCTCCCAACCCTGTTCATTCAGTAGTTCCCCGTTCTTAACTCAAATGAACATGTTAGACTTGATTCAAGTGGGAATTGGGATCCAGACTGGGTGCTGAGTGAGAAACCTCACATTATAATCAGCTCAGAAAATATCATTATTGCTGTGATTTATTTCACCCCTCGAGCTGTTCGTGTACTGCTGTTCCCTTTTCTCAGTTTAGTGCAATTTCAATATGAGGTGGTGAGAAACTTAAACATTAGCCAGTGTTGGGAGAAGATCCTTTACTTAAAGGGGACCTATCATGCAAAATGCACTTGTGTACGTCTTTTAAACATGAATATGTGTCCCCGGTGTGTCAGGGAACTCACCAAGTGTCAGAAAACACAACCCTCTCTCTTTTCCTCCATACCCAAATCTCTAAAAACGGGGCTGGAACGGATCTGATACAGACTGATATAGATTTGAAATTGTTCTGACGTCAGTGACGAGGAGCTCTGCCTATATGGGCAACTCTCCACCTATCAGGGGAATGAGAGGTTGCCGTGGCATGGTAACAGCATGGTAACAGCATGGTAACAGCATGGTAACAGCATGGTAACAGCATGGTAACATGACGCTCGTGCCTCGCCCCCCACCACTCCAATTAGCAAATGGCATCAAGGCTTTGGGAACATGCATCCGTCATTCAGAAAAGTATGTCTGAATGATGAGTAGTTAAAAAAACCTTACTACAGCTTGTTAGAGGTTACAAACGATAGGAACATTCTGAGGAGTAAGAGAGTGTGAAGAAACCTTTTTGTTCAGAGTCAGCAAAATGATCACAAGGTTGAGTGAAACGAGAAGCGATGAGACTGAAGGGAGCGAATCTGAGTCAGTCTCTCCAGACTGTAGACCTCCCTAGTATTTAAGTCTCCTCTGCGTCTTATGCTGTCCTGTGTGAAGGACACATGGCGAAATATTTCTAATATCTGAAGCCGGACAGGTGAGTACATTATATGTTTCTCCCACCTCAAATTAAAACACTTTGATTAACATGTAAATGTGTCACTTAACCACTCTCTTCTGAGCTCTGGCGCTGCGTTGAGTGGCAGCCTGTTACAGCAGCTCCCTACTCATCACTGAGTAGTTGGCTCTTTTCTGCTGTAACAATGTAAATGTCTTCTGAAGGTATTCTGATTCTGATTCTGATAAACATATTTTAGTTGACTCTACTGTTTGACAATGTCTGTAGATTATACTGTGTATACTGAATCAAATAATGTCTTACTTTCTAAGAATTGCAGGCAAATGAACCACACTGTGGGGGGTGTGATAGCATGATAAAGCCCCACATTCTCTACCAACTGGGCTAACAGGGCTATTTTTACAGTAAACAACGACAACATGGCCCAAGTAACTCTCAGAAAGGTTTCTTAAGACAGCAGGCAACATTACGGGCTGTACACATCAGGATTTCAAGTAAACACTGAAGAACATCTGAAATATATACTTTAACTTCATAATTAAAGCTGGTTCAGGTCATATCTATCAAAACGGTCTCAGTTTGTATCTGTCAACGATGAATCCTCATTACAAACTACAGTCAGTCATGGAGTACCGCAAGGGTCTGTACTTGGACCCATCCTGTTCATCATGCTACCATTGGGCAATATCATAAGGAATAACTCCATACATTTTCATTAGTATGCAGATGATACACAATTGTATCAATCAATTAAACCAGATGTACAATTTCCATTAGTTAAACTGCAAGAATGCCTCACAGACATAAAGACATGGATGACCTGCAACTTTTTATTATTGAACTCTGACAAAACAGAAGTCATTATACTAGGCCCCCAGCACCTTCGGAACAAACTGTCCAACAACATAATTTATTCGGATGGTATTACCTTGACCTCCAGCACCACTGTAAAAAAATCTTGGTGTTATCTTTGACGAGGATTTGTCTTTTAAATCCCATATAAAGCAAATTTCAAGGACTGCCTACTTCCATCTACGTAATATTGCAAAAATCAGGCACATCCTAAATCACAACAATGCAGAAACACTAATCCATGCTTTTACCACCTCCAGGCTGGATTATTGCAATTCCCTTTTATCAGGCTGTGCAAACTCATCATTAAAGACCCTTCAAGTCATAACAAAATGCTGCAGCACGGGTTTTGGGTTTTAACAGGAACAAAAAGGATGGACCGCATCACTCCTGTTTTAGCAGCATTGCACTGGCTACCAGTTAAGTCCAGGATTGATTTTAAAATACTTTTACTAACATACAAAGCGCTCAATAGTCAGGGACCATCCTACCTACAGGATCTTTTAATCTCCTATTGCCCCTCAGGGCATTAAGATCCCAGAATGCAGGTCTGTTGGTGGTTCCCAGAGTCCACAAAAAAGATCAGGTGCTAGCTTTCGGCTACCAAGCCCCGTTCCTCTGGAATCAACTTCCAGTGACGATTAGGGAGGCAGACAGTGTCCCCACATTTAAGAGTAGGTTAAAGACTTTCCTCTTTAGTACAGCGTACAGTTAAGACTGGTTTTAAACCCCCTTTTATAAATCCTCATGGACCCTTCGTTTTATGGAATTGTATGTATTGTACTCTAACTGTATTTGTGTCATTGTGTTATGTTCCTTTTTAAATTGGTATTTTCACATTGATCTTGTAAGATACGTTTGTTGTTTTTACATTGTTTTACATTGCCAATTGTGTTTGTTGACTTGTGAAGCCCTGTGAGACAAATAGGATTTGTGATTTTGGGCTATATAAATACACTTGAATTGAAATGAATAATTCATCATCAAACCAACATTTTATTTCACATAACTGTATTAGGTTAGTAACTAGTTGAAAGCAATAATATTTAGTTGATCCTTTTTAAACTTAATATTATTGTTTTCAACTACCTAATACAGTTATGTGAAATCTGTTGACATAATACATTAAAGTCAACATTTCAGTTTATTTAGTGTACCATACTATTTTAAACACCTATGAATGGCGATGCAAAAGTTACTAATTCATTTGTGAACAAAAGATGGACATGGTAATTTGAATATTTTTTGTGCGAACCCTGCCCACATTCTGTAGCTCTGTTAAGTTTCTGTGGACTGCTTTGAATACTTGATTTGGCACTGAGAACAGTTGTATTGCTCTTGTACTGTATGAAGCTTCATAGTTCATTTTATTTACGTATGAGTTAATTCCACTAACTGTACATGTACACTTTAAGCAGTTTTTGTAGCCCATGATGGAAAGGAGCAGGG